GAAGGACCTCATTTGCTCAAATATACAAGTAAACAACCTAAACTCCTTCAAAGAATTGTGTGTTCCTCTCCTGAAAACTGGTTTCTTAAGAAATAGCACTGTTTTGGAAAATGTTGTGACAATTTGTCTAACTTTGAAGTGTGGCATGTTTATCTGCATTTAATTATCACTTTTTCACAACTGACCGTGGTTAAGCATGCTCTTCTGTATTTTAGGGCTGCATTTGGAGGCCATGATAGAGAGAAGAGAGTCTCTTATAAAGGTACAATGAATGGTGTGATTACAATTTCTATTCTCCTCCACAGAATTAGCCATTCTCCCCCCGCCCCCAAAGTGTTTCTCTAGTGCTTACAGGGCCCTAAATGAGGGGGTTCATGGGATGAATAGAAATGTTGGGATGGGGCAGTGGGAAAGAAGAGAATCCCTGACTTCTTAGAAGTTTTCCATGGAAGAGTTAGAAACACAGTTCTACTTCAGATTTCCCAAGTGGCTTTGAATATAACTCATCATCTTCTTTACTGGTTCTGTTTCTTCCTCATAAGATGACCAGATGTGTCTTCCTGATTTACAAGAAGCTGGCCTATGAAGCATCACCTGGTTGAGGTGGGGGTGGGGTTAGTTATCGAAATTGGATTGACATGACGTGAGAAATCAACTTGTTTTTTGATAGGGGCTTTCAACATAGGAAAATGCAGGGGCCAACTCAACGTTTTAAAAAATGCCATGGTCAAAGCCCTTCCTTCAACCTACATCTTCCAGTCTAAGCTGTCATGAGGCATTGCCTCCTGGCCACAATAACCGGAAGGACGCCGAAACTGGTTTGGCTCAGTGGATAGAGCATTGGCCTGCGGACTGAAAGGTCCCGGGTTCGATTCTAGTCAAGGGCATGTACCTTAGTTGTGGGCACATCCCCAGTGGGGGGTGTGCAAGAGGCAGCTGATTGATGATTCTCTCTCATCGATGCGTCTAACTCTCTATCCCTCTCTCTTTTTCTCTGTAAAAAATCAATAAAATATATTTAAAAATAAAATAAAATAACCAGAAGGATTGAGAGTGGGAGATTGGAAAGGCATGCATCAGGTTTTCTAAATTAGAGTCTTTAAGTATCTCAGAAGACCTTACTGAAAGTTTATAATGTCAGGCTTCAGACATGGATTTTATAGGGGTCTCCCACTCGGAAGCAAGCCCACGCCTTTCCCTTCTCCCTTTATCCCAGGCATGTTACTATTATCTTTTTTTCTTTTTTTCTCTCTCTTTTTTTTATTTTTTATTAAGGTATTATACGTGTACAAACCTTACCAATCCCCACCCCACCCCCACTCCCGTACATGCCCTTCCTCCCCAGAGTTTTTCATCCATTGGTTATGCTTATATGCATGCATATAAGTCCTTCGGTTGATCAGTCAATGAAAGAAAAATACCACATGATCTCACTCATTTATGGATAATAAGGAACATTATAAACTGATGAACAAAAAGCTAGATACTATTATCTTTCTAACTCCCAAGCTCTAAAGGCCCTTCCTTTACCTCTAACTTGTTTCCTAAGGCCATTTCTCCTACAAATTACTTCTTCTTACTCTGTGATTTTATAAATAAACTAAGGGCCCATTGCAGAAAGATTTCTACAAGAACAGGGCTTCAGGTGGGCTTCCCTCCCACCACCGTCACCTCTCCTATCGCCCCCCACCCCTCTAGAAGTCACCTCTCACGTATTCGTGTAGACTAGATGACTGGTGCACATGCACCCATGGGGACTCTCGGGCTGGCCGATGGGGATCAGGCTGAAACCAGCTCTCCGACATCCCTCGAGGGGTCCCGGATTGGGAGAGGGCAGTTCTTGGGTGACGCACCCCAGAATTGGGCTCCCTCCTCTCTGGTTTGGGGGTTGTCATCCAAGAACTGCAGCTGCCAAGTCACTGCACCTCAGCAGCTCCTGTGTTGAGTCTCTGCCCCCTGGTGGTCCTTGTACATCATAGCTACTGGTTGGACAGTCTGATGGTTGCTTAGGCTTTTATATATTTAGATGTTCTCTTATAGTTTAGAAAAAAAAAAAAACCCACACATGAATTGTTATACAACATTCTGATGACCACACTCATGCAGGTGCCACTGGAATATTCACTGTTCTGCGTGACTGGCTCAGTCTGCATGAGAACTCCCATGGTTCCCACCTTCATCTTCCCACATCAGCTCCTAGTCTAGGTGGGGGCGAGACATTCCTCACTCCTGACAATTTTCCTTCCTAGATGCACCTAGCAATTAGGCTCACCTATAAACACCTTTCCCCTGAGTCAATGAATATAAAGAACTATTGGATAAGTAACAATGACGTTTTTTAATTACTTACACTGCACCTAGAACATGGCTTAAATTAAATGTTAGTTTATATACATGCATGCACATACATACATACATTCCAAAAATATTTATTGAACCAGACACTGGAGCCACCACAAAAATGACTCATGCCCTTGAAAATTCTGTTATAAGGAAGGCTCATGAAGTGATCAAATTCAGGAAGTCACATCATTATCCTTAAAATCCTACAATATACTACATTGTACACGAAAAGCGCTGAAAGAGATGGAGACAGGGTTGGTGGGCCACGTAGAGATGAATTTTTAGCTGAAACTTACAAAATGTCAGGCACAGAAAGAAAAAGAGCACATTCCAAACATAAGCCATGCCGTGTACAAAATCAGTCAAGAAAGAATATACTATATTTGAGGAATAACAGCAAAAGCTCCCTGGCTGATGAATAGCGTGTGGGAAAGGAGAGCGCCAGGAAACAGGCAACGCCAGACTGAAGTGATTTGAATGCCATACTCTGGAGTTCGACTGTATCCTGTAGACACCAGGGACCAATAAAAGTTATTAAGCTCAAGAAATAAATGATTAGATTTATGTTTTAGAAAGGTAGCTCTGCGGCCAGCAGAGAGGATGGATTTCAGAGAAAGATCGCAACATTAATTTCTCTCAGAATTTTGGGGGTCAAGGGATGTTAAATAAATACTTCTGGGGTTCACCCTTTAACTACCGAATCAAAATCTCTGGGCTCCAGGCCTGGAAGCCTGCATACATAACATCTCTAATATCACGGGCCCTACAAGTCTAAGCCAGAGTCATAGAGGCCACTTAGAAAGGTCCAATTGTCGGATTCAAAGATGAAATGAGATCAGTACAGGATGCCCTTCCAGAGTAGCTAATACATTTTTTTAAGGCAATTATAATATTAAGTGCCAAACATTTGTTGCAGACTGCTATGTTATCTTGGCCAAGTAATTGGATACCTTGACATCAGGCATTTCTATGACAAAGCACTGATAGGCAAATCGTATTGGAGCGTCACAAATTCCCAAGAGATCAAGTTTTTATCACTTTCAACTAAGGAGTTTCGGGAAGATTAGATTAAGCCATTCTTATTTGCCTGTTTATTTACTGTCTCCTCTCACTCTCCTGTAATTCCCAGGTGAGTAGAAACTGTTGACACTAATGGGTCTCTGGTGCAAAGATGCCGACCCAAAGTAAAAGTAAATACATTCTGGGGGGGGGGAAAAAAAAAAAGGAAGATGTAGGAAACACTGCAATGTCTGGTGAAAGAAAGCACATTGGTCAGGGAATTAGGAGATTCCATCCTTTTCCATGTGGTACTTAACTATTCATTCAACTCCTTCAGGGTGCTGGATGCTGAAGACATTACCCCAAATGCATTGCCAATGTTGATTCCAGGGTTTGATCCCGCTACTCAGAATTATGGAGCCCTGACAAGTTTACATTGTAGATGAAAAAATGGGTGCTGTGGTAGATCATAAGTTCTTAGCTGGATCTTGGTGGGTAGTCAAGACCCAGGCATAGCCGAAACCGGTTTGGCTCAATGGATAGAGCCTCGGCTTGGGGACTGAGGGGTCCCAGGTTCGATTCCGGTCAAGGGCATGTACCTTGGTTGTGGGCACATCCCCAGTGGGGGAGGTGTGTGTGCAGGAGGCAGCTGATTGATGACTCTCTCTCATCGATGTTTCTAACTCTGTATCTCTCTCCCTTCCTCTCTGTACAAAATCAATAAAATATATTAAAAAAAAAAAAAAGAAAAGAAAAGACCCAGGCATATAACTTTTTAGTAAAGAGTTTATTTGGGTTTACCCCTGCCCATTGTGTCTGTGGATTTAGAAATGCTTATTTTCAGACCCCTCCTTCAAGATACAATTTCCCAGGAGAGAGCACATAATCTTAATCCACCACGCCCCTATCTTCTTCATCCTCCCTTCCCCTCCCACACCTTGCTTTCTTCCACTTTCGTGTATCTTTCCTTAAGTCACCTCAATTTAAAATGCACAAAAGAAAACTGTAAAACTGTTCCTATCTGGCTTCCTGGCCATTGTCGTTCCTTTAGGTTAATTCCCTCCAGGCTTGTCCATTTCTTACATGGACCACATTAAGCTTAAACTTCAAGCCTTCATGCCTTAGTAAAATGAGGGACTTGGCCAAAAAGGAGACGATTCCAGATTTCACTTTGGCCGTTCATCTTCTTTATCTGCTGGCTTACAGTTCCTCCTCCTACATGAACAAAGGGACGTGCTCAGGCGCCAGATCCTTGCCCTCGGAGCAGAAATGTAACCACTCCTCCGAGAACTGGTTTCTCCGAGAGCGATAGAGACTCCGTGCTGGATGTGGAGACGGAAACCCATGTGGCACTAACTGTTCGGCTTCTCCCGGGTCCCTGATGGGGGAGGCTGGTTCCTCCAGCTCCAGGCCAGTTCACGCTCCTCCATCCGCTTAAGTTTCCCCGGGTTGGGAAGGTGAGGGGTGCGCGCCCCACCTTGCAAAGACGCTCCGCCCTAAAAGGGGGCGGGCCTGCAAAGACTCCCCGGGGCCCAGAGGAAGACTCCCATTGGCCGGAGGACAGATGACGTAGGGGGCGGGGCTCCCCGGGGGGTGTATATAAATAGGAGGGGGTGTGCACAACCTGTGTCAATTTCGGAGTCTCTGGCCGCTCTCCTACTCGTGGTGTGACCTGAGCCGTCCCCTTAAGGCTTTTCTTTTCCCGCAGCCTGGGTACCCCCATCCTCTGTGGCACCCCACATCTCCCTCCCCTACCCCGGGGCCCTTTTCCTGCATTTCCTCAGTGGTGCGTGCATTCGGGGGACTTTCTATTTGTTTCCTTCTCTTTCCTCTTTGTTGCTCTCACACACCGGCCGGCCTCCCCCCAGAAGCCCCTGCACTCCGAAGGGAGCTCGACGCCCGGAGACGGGCGGCTGCTGCGGGCTGCACCGGCCCCACCTGCGGATCCGCCAGCCGGGGCGCTCGCCCGCCCGCCCGCCCGCCTCTCCCGCCGCCCGCGTCCGTCCGCCGGGGAAGCCGCCACGCGTTCATTGATGCACCCATTCCAGTGGTGTAACGGTGAGGCCGGGGGCAAGGAGGGGGGGGGGGGGGGGCGCCGGACTTCAGATCGGAGGCTCGCTCTGCCTCTCGAGCCAAGTTTCTCTTGCAATGGGGCGGCCGAGAAGGCGTCCCGGAGCCCAACTCTGTGCTGCACGGCGCGGAAATGGAAAAGCAAACAAACAAACCAACGCATAAGCCCCGATTTCCCTGGCGGGCGGGGAAGGGGCTCCGAAGGGGCGGCGGGGTGGGGGTGTGGGGGCGGGCGTGGGGGTCGCGGCCCCTGTGGGGCGGCTTCGCTCTCCTGCCCCTGCCCCTGCCTTTGTGCGCTCCAACTCTGCTCTTTGTTGTGATGGTCCGAGAAGCCTGGAATCCGCGCTCGGGCTGGGATCTCCTAGAGGGAGCTCAAGTTCCCTCCTGGTCTGAAACTTTGCAGGCTATTTGCAACGTGCACACAATGCTTGTGCTGCGGCGCGCGGGGCCGGCCGGGGGTGGCTTCCTCTGTGTCTTTGTTGGCTTCGGCCTGGCCGCTACGGGGCTCCGAGCCCGCGGAAGGCGCCGGATGAAAGAGCTTGGCTTTATGGAGCGGATAACCCTTTGCAGATACGTGTCTCCCCTGGGCGCAGGCTAATCTGCTCCCCAGAGCCTCACCTCCAGACCCAACTGACCCATTCACTAGCCATTCCCCCCCCCCCCCACACACACACATACACACCACCACCACCACCACCGTGATGCTAAATTTATCTCATCTGAGGCTTCTTTTGTGGTTCAGGTGATAACAAGTTGGGCGTGGGTCTGATTCCTCACCCAAGCTAATTGAACTGGGGGGGCCTTCCTCGGAGATCAGTTCAAAACCTTGAATACTCATGCTCTCTAATGGCCCTAGGATCTTCACCGCCTAGTTCTAAGGCTGGTAGAGCTGGGCCAGGTCACAGCTAGTCTTATCTCTGAGTGTTGGCAAACTGGCTAGTTAGAGGGAAACATTCATTCTGAAAGCAAGCAGACTCACTCTCTCTTGCCAGGTCTTGGATTAATTATTTCAAGAGGCTTTTGTTTTAAGGCAAGGTTTGGGCAGCATGTGTAAGAATGCCCTCCCCCCAACCCCCTTCCTCTTGCTGGTGGCATCGAATTTCCTGACAATGAACCAAGCTGTGTGATAGGCAGGCGTTGCGGGAGAGGGGGCGGAAGACGGGAGGAGGCAGAACCGAGTACCCCAGCATCTGGGAAAGATTCCCTTGTCTGGGAAGGAGAGGCATTTCCCAGAGTCTCTGGTCTTTTCTTGGCCAGCCCTTCTCTTGACGTCATTCCTGCTCCCAGCCCACTCATGGAGATGAAACATTCTGATGTCAGGGCTTGCGGAGGTCCAGCTGAGACAATGGGAGAAAATACTTCAGGAGAAGAGCTGGGGGCTGTTAGTCACACTGGCCTTTCTTCTGGCAGCCCTCTTTCAGAGAGGTTCTCAGGCCAGCCGAGGACATGCTGCTTTCTCTGTTCACTTCTTAGCGACGAGAGATCCTGTTCTTTGACTTCAATGAGGAGGCAATCCCTCTCCCCCCACCATTTTGTGAAAAATCTCTGGCCCCCCTCTTCCCTGGGGTTGGTGTTCTGCCCAGCTTTTAGAGGAAAACTTCACCATCCAAGCAATTGGAGCATCTCTTTCTTGGCTATGGAGCTCTTCTCACCCACACCCCTATCACGTAAGAGTCCTGAACTCCGTGACTCAATCCTGGGTCATCAGACAAGAGCAGATGGTGAAGATGGACTGCTGAGGCCAAAGTGCTTGCAGAGTACATACACAAACCCTCTACAATAGCTACTGCCACCCCTCTGCAAGCTCCCAGAATAGACACCAAGTGAGGTTCTTTGGAACCCTAAAGATACCAGGATCCGATCTGTAAAAGAATGCAGAGAGAGTCAAGGCAGATTGGTAGGTCCTCTTACAGCATCAGATGGTGTTGGGGGCATGGAGGTATGGAGTTGCTCATTGATATTGTGGGCACAGTTTCTTGAAGGGAAGTCCTAAGACTCCCTTACCCCTTTCCAGAATAGACTCAGTCCACCATGATGTCTTCAAGAAAATTTGACTTTTTTTGGCCCATCGAGCAAATATTTGAATGGAGGGGTGGTGAAAACTTTCTAAATCCTGCTAGAGACTAGATGCAAGGGCTTATTGTTGGGTATAGCAAAGTTTAGTAGCTAATTATTTCATTGTTTTCAGCTTAATTAAAAAAAAAACCTTTCAAGATAAGAATTACTTCTTTTACTTTTTGTTTACCCACAATGTGTAGGTCATTGCATAAATCAGGCCTTCCACAGTACTTGTTCATTGACTGGTCATCCATTCAGCTGAGGGCAGTTTCTAGGCAATTTTCCCAAGCATCAGTCTACTTTCCTACTTTCTTTGGAGTGTGAGTTTCTGCCACGGGTGCCAAGTTTTGAGAAAATTAGGAGTTATTTATCTGTTAACTAGTTTTTGAGAACAAGCCAAACACTAGACTAGGCACTGGAAAATATCCAAATTGCTTTCCTCAGACCTCAGAGCATTCAGGTTGTCAAGGACTTTCATCTCTGATCTTAGGATTATAGTGTGCTCCTCTACTGTGCTTCACTTTGTATGGTGAAAACCTTTGTGTCTGGCCCTTGCTGGTTTGGCTTAGTGTTTAGAGTGTTGGCTCTCACACTGAAAGATCTTGGGTTTGATTCCCATTCAAGGACACATACCTTGGTTGCAGGGAGGAAACCAATCAATGTTTCTCTCTGTCTCTCTCCCTTCCACCGTATCTCTCTTAAAAAAAAAAAAAAATCAATGGGAAACATATCCTTGCATGAGGATTAACAAAAACAAAACAAAAAACACCTTTGTGTCCTTTTCCCTAGAAGGTAAATCCATCTACTCATTTTTCCCCCCCTGATTTTATCTTCAGTGTCTATCATGGTACTTGTCATATAATCAATGCTTAATGTATGTTTGTGTTAAGTTGATGCTAGGAACAACTTGGCAATGTAAGATAATTACCAAGTATTCAAGAGCCAGAACATGTGATAGAGCTGTGAGCACACAGAATTCTGGAAAGAGAGGGTCACTGGAATACCACAAAGACCAGGCTTGGTGGACTTTAGGAAAGCAGGGAGTTTCCAGTGGGGAAAGCTGATGAACAAAGGTATGGAGGCAAGAAGTAGTGAAGAGACAGGCCCACGTGGGGTGGTGCTGGAGGACATTGGCGGGAAGGTTAAGAGGGGACCCAATGCACACATGTTTAGGAGAACTTTAAGCTAGTCGTGAGTTTGGGAAATATATGATAGAAACAGAGTAGGAGGAAATGAAAGACATGTGGGCTAAATTAGAGGAAGGACTAGACATCAATTAGGTGACTGGATAGGGACTTGGAATAGATTTGGGCCTAACGTCTGTTTGGAATAGGGACTTGGCAATAGATTTGGGCACGAAATATGAAAGGGGTTTGGAGGGAGCTCATTATATGGTCACTGGATTGATCTAGGGGATGAAGAGAGGTATGAGAAGCACATCAAAGATGACTTCATCTTTCAAGCGAGACTTCTGCTGAATTGTAGCTCTGGTAATTATAATGCAGAGTTCTGAAGTATATATTAATGGGTTCTGGCTCTTAACCAAGATGTCAGGAAAGTTCCTAAAACCCATGTTGAGGGCTCGAGTACAGAGCCAGGCCTTGTTAACTGCTGGAATACAGACAGTTCAAAGATGGAGTTTTTTTAAAATTAAACTGGTATATTAGAATGTACTTAAGATGTAGCAGGTATATGTTAAATTCCAGTTTTCTTGTCTCACCACATTCTGAAATAAGAATGTTATGCTTATCTTTTGGATCACAATGGTATTTTTGCCTGCAAGCATGAATAAACACTCAACCAGCTTATTGCTTATATCCTATCTTTCCCCCCACCCCCTTTTCCTTATGTTAAACATTACAGAAAATGTACTGTCAGAACCAGTAGTCCCAAGGTAAAGAATGGCTCCAGGACTGGCTAATCTAGCAACTCAACTGATAAAATCTTTCCTCCTCTTTGTTTCCCCTGCCACAGGCTCTATATTATATTGATCTCCTCTCTTTCCAGCTATAACTTGGCCACCACCATGAAGGTGTTTTGAGCAGACCTTGTTAATGTGTAGATTCTGATTCGTTTCTTCTGGGCTGGGCCCAATACTCTGCATCTCAGATAAGCATCAGGGGATATCATTGCTATCATGAGACTGCACAGTGAGGCTTTTAAAAAAATATATACATTTTATTAATTTTTCACAGAGAGGAAGGGAGAAGGATAGAGAGAAACATCAATGAGAGAGAAACATCGATCAGCTGCCTCCTACACACCTCCTACTGGTGTACATGCCCTTGACAGGAATCTAACCTGGGACCTTTAAGTCTGTAGGCCGATGCTCTATCTACTGAACCAAACCAGTTATGGCTGCACAGTGAGGCTTTGAGTAGAAACCGGGACAGTAGACAGTAAGAGTGAACTGCAACCCCCACCCCCACTTTCTGGAACTCAGCCTTGGAATGAATAATGTCTATTCTGGTCCTATTGCAGATTATCTCCTGGAGCAGGTGGCTTCATAATGACAAATGACCTTTGGGGTTGCCCTTTGCAATTTATAAAGCATATTTCTTTTAAAATAATATTTTTTTTTTTATTGATTTCAGAGAGGAGAGGAGAGGGAGAGAGCGAGAGAAACATCAATGATAAGAGAGAATCATTGATCAGCTGCCTCCTGCACGCCCCCCACTGGGGATTGAGCCTGCAATACAGGCATACACCCTTGACCAAAATCATACCCAGGACCCTTCAGTCCATTTTTCTGCCCATTACCTGAAATCTTGAACCCCTTCCCCCCACCCCCCTCCGCCAAGATGGGGATGCAGCTTTAAGTACTGCGTGTAGTAGTCCGTTTTGTAGATTGGTTACCTGACCCACGATCGCATAGCTAATAAGTATTAGAACTAGGACATGCACTTAAGCCCCAGAATCAGAGGTTTAGGAGCTCAGAGCCTGCCAGTTCTCTCTCCATCCTTGTTGACACAGAGTACATCAGTCCCAGAGGTACATTTCCAACTAGAATAATATTATTTTTCCTCCCCCTTTCTCTGCAGGGTGTTTCTGTGGCCTGGGACTGGTCAGTACTAACAAGTCCTGCTCAATGCCACCCATCAGTTTCCAGGACCTTCCTCTGAACATCTACATGGTCATCTTCGGTACAGGCATCTTTGTCTTCATGCTTAGCCTCATCTTCTGCTGTTACTTCATCAGGTGAGTGACTCCCTGGCTGGCCTGGAATGGGGGCATCGGGGAGGATGTAGGGTGAGCTGAGCGAGGCTCACCAGCCTCCAGTGGGTGTCCTGCCTAAAAGACAGGACTTAGCCAGTCCTCTACTGGGCCCTCGAGGCCTGGTGTTTCTGTTTACATTAGCCTATCAAGTTGTCCCAGAGCATCTAAGGTCACTATGGGTTGGGCTGCATCCTGCCTCTTGGCCAATTATGCTAAGGTTGCCTAGAATTACTGTCTGACAAAGTAACATCATTGATGGTCCTTTAATTGTCTCTCTTCCCACTCATACCCTCCGGGTAGCCGGGGATACGTAAGCATGAGTTACACCAGTGGCACGTCCCTCTGCCCTCCTGGGAAATCTTTCTATGTCCAGCAGATGCTAATATTAGCAAGCTGGTGTCTGGAGATCTGCTTGTTTATTCTGCCTTGGAAACTCTTATTTTTTTGAGAGTGAGAAAACGAAAAGCCTTCCTTATCGCACAGGGACCCAGGGAAGAACTGGAGTTTCTCTAGGAACTGTTTCTTCTCCTGTTTATAAGACATGGGAACTGTGGCTATTCCCTACAGAAAATGTGGGGCCTAACTGGAATTTAGACTGGAAGTTAGAGTAGTTGCTAACAAGAGCACGTGTTTGGTGTTAATAATTCTTTGCTGGATATTGAGGAGTGCTGAACGCCTCTGACTAGCAGAACATGGCTAGAGCCATCGTGATCACTAACCCCCACAGACGCCTGAGTAGATGTCGGCTGGAGTCCAGGCTAGTGTCTGATCAAATCACCTAACAGGCGTCTTCAAACTACAGCCCGCGGGCCACATGCGGCCCGCAGAGGAGTCTGATCCGGTTTTTTGGGCAGTGAACGCAGCCGAGGTGTTACAGTAGGAATTAGTAGTTCATATAGTCCGGCCCTCCAGCTCTCTGAGGGAGCGTGATCTGGCCCCCACTTTAAAAAGTTTGAGGACCCCTGACCTAAGGCGATGAAATTAGGATGGAGGAAGCAGGAGATCTGGCTCCCCACGGAGGTGTCCTGGTGGATTTGAGTCCTTCCTCCAGAAGGAGGCTAGAGAAGGTGCTTGTCCTATTCAGGCTGGAAGATCTCTCTCTAAGAGGAGGAAGTGCATGCAGGCCTGCTCCCCAGTGCTCTTGGTTCTTTCTCAGAACTTTAAAAAGTCCCTACAACTAGAATTTTCCACTGAAGCCACTATCTTCTGTAAACACTTTTATTTTTTTCCTCTTGGTGTCTAGAATTTGCATCTCACTCTGAAGTGGGGGTGAGGGTAGGTTTCTGGTATTGCCTCACTCCCTCATCCTTCCCCAAGCCTGAGTTTTGTTCCTCAAACTCTTTTGTCTGCCTGACCAACAGCCACTCCCATCTCATTTCAAGCAATTTGTGTGGTTCCCCAGAGACTGAAGGTAGACACCTTCTAAAACCAAAGATTTGTGTGTGACGCTTGGAGGAGTCTGTAAAGCCAACTCCACTCTGTCCGTTTACACACACACACACACACACACACACACACACACACGAGCTCACACATGCCAAGCTGCAAAGGTGATCAAGTAAAGAAATCTTAGAAAATCACTCTAGGCCAGTGAATAGATGTCCCCCAGGGCTCATTTCCGAATTCTGCCACTAATGGGTGTAACCTTAGATTTTTAACTATTCTTTACCAAGTGCCACCTGCATGCCAGACATCATGGTTAGCATTCTGTAAGATATTTAGCTCACTTAATCCTCAGAACATCCCTGCAGGTTAGATATGAGTCCACGTTATAAATGCTGATTCTTACTCCTTGACTGAGAAGTGGAGGGGGGAGCTGTGACCGTGGCCACGTCTTGACCCCTAACTATTAGGTGTCTGCAGAAGGGGAGGCTGGGAGCTGGCTGATTCAGTTTTGGTTGGCTGGCCTGAAGGAACAGAGCGACAGGACTGCACGATGCCAAAGGCCTTCCCGTGGCAGGGCTGCTCGGCACCGCCTGTCCCTTCTGCAGTCCTCTGCCCGCCCTGCACCACCCCACTCTGCCCTGCAGCCTGCTCCGAGCCAGCCCACCCCGCGGCCTCATGGTTCCAGAGCTCACTGCTGTGTGGCAGCCTGTGGGCGTCTATATATAGAAAGACACACAAGTGCAGAAGCCACTTCCTCTCCCAGCTTCTTGGTTTCCTCCTCAGCCAAAATAGGCCTGTGACCCCCACTCATGACCTGGTGAGCTCATTGGCCAAAACCAGCCTCCACTCCCAGCTCCCCATACCCCCCCCCCGCCCCCCGCACTCCTTCTCCCCCAGCCCCCAAAAGGGCTAATCTCTGCCCCGCACAGGATGGAGGGGCCGGTGAAGTACACATAGGCAGGAAAGGGACAATTATGTGCAGGATCTGGCTGCATTGTTTGCTCCAAAAGGGAAAAGAAGCAAAGGGAGAGAGAGAGCTCACTGGCAGTGGCTGGAAATGGTGTCATTGAGATCAGGGTATTTTTAGCGACTTCGCTCACCCAACAGCTGAAAAGGCCACCTGTCCAATGTTGTTGGCTCCGTGTCCCCTGCTGGGATGGCCCAGCATCTTTGTTTTGTTTTGTGTTTGTTTCCTTTTGCAACCTGTTTGGCCCCGTTTCATATCAATCTAAACCTTCCTGACCCAGGAATCTACATGCAGGGTGCAGGTGCAGCTTTAAGCCCCTCCGTGTTCAGAGCATCCTGGGCTCCGAGAGGCAGGCTTCTGGGGTTCTCTCAGATAAGACCATTAAAAGGAGGGTGCCCCAGGCACGCGCCGATACTGCGTGGCACACACGACGTCCTAGCCATGTTGCATGGAGGCTCACAGTTAGGTGTGGCATCCCCTCACTCTGGTGAAGAAGCAGGCTCCTCACCGCTTCCTTCGTCACTCTGTACATACCTGCTAAGCATGGCTATCTCCCTCAGAAGCTAGCTGTACACACACACCCTACTGAACATGTCTCCTTTCCCCAGTGTCTGTCGGCTAGCGGTTATGTAAGCTTTGGGTGCATCCTTCCCGCCCTTCTCACTGGGACGAGGGGCCAGAGATGCCTGGGAACATATGAAAGTGCAAAGTGAAGGATGGGGCAGTGGGAGCCCTGAGGAGGCCTTGAACCCAACCCCCCACTTTAGAAACCCTCCAAAGAGGGAAAAGAAATGGGGCGGGGATGTGCCGCTCAGGCCTCAGCCCCGTGTGGCTGGAGCCACTTGGACTGGAGTTCGTTCTTTTTTTTTTAAATATATTTTATTGATTTTTTTACAGAGAGGAAGGGAGAGGGATAGAAAGCTAGAAACATCAATGAGAGAGGAACATCAACCAGCTGCCTCTTGCACATCCCCTACTGGGGATGTGCCTGCAACCAATGTACATGCCCTTGACCGGAATCGAACCTGGGACCTTTCAGTCCGCAGACTGACCGATGCTCTTTCCACTGAGCCAAACCGGTTTTGGCTGGGGTTCGTTATTTAGAGGATCCAGGCACACGTGGCCTGGCCAGGCCCCCGGACGATGGCGTGTTCCCCTAATTGGCGAAACAGGCCACATGTTGTGTTCAAGCACTCGGGCTCTGTGACCAGAGAGACTTCCATTCAGATGCTGCCAGCCGGCTCTGAAGTTTGAGCAAGTTACTTCTCCCACTTCCTTTCCCCCTCAGCTGTGGGAAGGGAAGCCTCTCCCTCTAAAGCTGTTTGGAGCGGGTGAGCAGGTCCATGAGTGTGTCAGTGAGGGGATCGGTGCACAGCACATCCTCAGACGGTGCGCTGTGGCCTGTGGAAACACGTGCCAGGTTTTGGCTCTTGCGGGTGAGGCAGCGTGCAGGCCACCAGCTGGAAACAAAAAGGAGCAGACAAAGAAGGGCTCGCCTGTGCTTTCCTGGCACCGTGCGTGCGGGGAGAGTGCTCTGTTTGCAGAATACCGTGTTCTCCGGGCAGCATGTCCCCCAGGGCCAACAGACGCTTCTTTATCCCGCTCCCCTAGCTTACTGGGAATAGCCCTGGTAAGAATATCTAACTTCTCTATGCTCGGAAGTTGTTGATCTACACAGGGTTTGAGAGCCTGCAGGAGTTTACCTCCTGAGAAATGCAGGAAGAGGGAAGCCCCCAGAATGTGGGAGCTGCAGAAAATGTTGAGGCTGTTGAGCCTGGGTCCTTAACTCACTCTGGGTGACCCACTGAGGCCCAAACCTGACCCCGTGGCCTCTCTAGGGTGAGCCACCCCTGTGAGGAGCACCCGTCCCACCCCCAGAAGAAGCCAGACAGCCCGCCTGCCTCTCCTGCTTACAACGGCTCCGCTGGTGCCATGGTGACCACTTCTCTCCCCTTCTTTTTCCCCAGCAAACTGCGGAACCAGGCGCAGAGCGAACGATACGGATATAAGGAGGTAAAGCACGGCATCTTCCCCTGAGACTTCCTCCTCTGCTCCTTGTCCTTCTAGAGGCGGAAGAGGAGGAGAAGCTTGAGCTGTCCTGGCTGGAACCCCCCTCAGCCTCCCCTCTGGCCTTCTCTGGGGTTCAATCCTTTCACTGTCCTCAAGTCTGGCTGGCTTAGGCAGTGCCCAGAGCCCCCCTTAATGAAAAGGAGGGAAGAAGAAAAGGGGGGAGGGGGGAGGGCGGAGGGAGGGGGAGGGGGATCCTGTGCAGAGCTAGGAGCTTCCCTCATTGGCTGATACCACCAGGCTTCTTTGGCTGATACCATGCTGCCTCCTTTCTTCCCAGGTGGTACTTAAAGGGGAGGCCAAGAAGTCACAATTATATGGGGTGAGTGTGTTGGAACTGCATGTGGGAGGGGCCCCATGGGTAGAGCACAGGGCACTCTCAGCTTTCATCCTGGACCCATTTTGGGAACCTCTGTAAAGAAGATCCTTTTACCCTGTATATACACTCTGCCCTAGCAGACTATGGAACTAACTAGTGTGCCCATGTCTGTGGTTCCTCCCTGTCCCCCCATCACTCTGCTCACACCCAACAAATCCTGGTTCCCCCACACTGACTCTTTAGGAATAGGCCGTTCCTACTCCTTTCCCATCTGTCCCTGGAGGTCATCTAACTCGCTGCCCAAAGCTTCCGTCCATAACCAGGACCTCCTGTACACAGTGTTTGTGGTTGTCTGAACATCACAGATATCACTAGACACAGGACTACTGAGAAATGGCCCATTTTGTCCCTGTTTTTAAATATTTTTTTTTTTTTTATTGATTTTAGAGGAAGGGAAAAGGAGAAAGGGAAGTAATGATGAGAATTATTGATCAGCTGTGTCCTACACGCCCCCTACTGGGGATCGAACCCAGGACCCTTCAGTCCGAAGGCCGATGCTCTATCCACTGAGCCAAACCAACTAGGGCTGCCCCTGTTTTTCATATCTCAACAAATTCAGATGTTTCCCAAGCCCTCTTCTAGAAGAGTAATTCCGTTGAGATTGAGGGGATTCATATACATGAACAGAAGGCTGGATTTAAAGAAGGTAACAGACCACATGCCCTCATCCTTAACCTCTCGTTATTGAAACATCTCCCCTTGCCAAATGTATTAGGCTAGAAAGCATTAAAAACCATTCTTCTAGAATAGCACAGCAAAGGGAACCTGTGAACCTGGGGTGGCAATAATGACTGTTCAGGATGGTGAGTGGGGTTCTTGCCCAATCTCCTCTCACACTGCCCCTGCCCCGTTGCTCTCCACAGCAGACCTGTGCAGTCTGTCTGGAAGACTTCAAGGGGAAGGATGAGCTCGGTGTGCTCCCGTGCCAACATGCTTTTCATCGGAAGTAAGTGTCGATAGTGGGGATGTGTGCCCAGGGGTGCCTTTTATATATATATATATATATATATATATATATATATATATATATATATATATACACACACACACACACACACACACACACACACACACACGCCACACACATACATATATATATTATTGATTTTTCATAGAGAGGAAGGAGAGGGATAGAGAGCTAGAAACATAGACGAGAGAGAAACATCGGCCAGCTGCCTCCTGCACACCCCACCAGGAATGTGCCCGCAACCAATGTACATGCCCTTGACAGAAATCGAACCTGGACCTTTTAGTCCTCAGACTGACGCTCTATCCACCGAGCGAAACCGGTTTCGGCCCACCTATCTCTTGTCAGCGATGTCCTACAACCTGTCCGGATAGCAGACAAAAGGGAAGGGTTCTATTGCAGTAAGGATAGGATGGTCTGTGTCTGAGAAATGATAGCCAGCCAGAGCAGATTGGGGTCTCTCACATCTTCTGTGGCCCACAGGTGTCTGGTGAAGTGGCTAGAAGTACGCTGCGTATGCCCCATGTGCAACAAGCCCATCGCCGGCCCCTCCGAGGCCACTCAGAGCATTGGAATCCTGCTGGATGAGCTGGTGTGAGGGCTGCCTTTACATCAGGCTGAGAGAAGACATCTTGCCTCATGGATGCCTGGTCCCTCTGCAAAGCTGCAATGAACAAGACTGTTGGGTGATAATGGTCGTGCCTACCTGAAGGGGAGGTAGTACAGGAGTGGTCTCCCACCATTACTGAGAGGCCAGACTTGCCCCTCCTTCCTGCCTCCTGAGGTCTTCTTCCCTGTTAACTCAGTACTGAAAGCATTGCCCATCAAGACCAATGTGTCCTGGTACTGGATGATTTCCCTGCCTGTCCCTGCTCTGGGGGAAGAATCACCCTTGGAGCACACAGTAGAGATAGAGACCATATGACCACAAAGCCTAGAAGAAGGGATGAGATGGGCTCTGTCTTCCCCTGCCTCCCATTCCTTCCATCAGAAGGTTAGTAGGGAAGAAAGGAAGAAAAGACCAAGGAACCAAGTACCTCCAGTGGAAGTGAGGGAGGCTCTGTAGGAAATTAGGAAGAGCAAGGACATAAAGAAGCAAAGTCAATGTTTACATGGGACCTATGGAAACAAAGGCTGGCTGGCCAGCCTGACTACAGGGTAAGGAGGGCCCTCCCTCCCCCTGCTAGGGTCTGAGGTGCTATCCATTCGCTCTCTTCCTCTGTCGATCTCGGAGCTTCCTAGTCCACGTCGGAGTCAGAGTGCCCCTCCAGAGGAAGGGCTTGCTCTACACTCACATGGATTTCCAGGGGCTTTTTCTAAAAGAGCAAAAGGGGCCTGGGGAAGGGGGTGTCTGAAGGTGAAGATAGCGACACCTTCTTCCCCCTTGTAAATAGTATTTTTGTACTTCATCCTCACCATCTCAGGGTTTATATATGGAATGGAGGGGGTGGGGGTTTCCGTTCCTCCCCAGAGTGGGTGAGGGTGGGAGAAGGTGTGTATTTAAAGAAATTAAATTTAATAACAAGTTTCTCTAGCCTTCTGCCTGTGGTTGTGGCCTGTGTCTGTTGGCTCTTTTCCACCACCAAGGAACAAAACTCCTTGTAACTGCTGCTTCTCACTTCCCCACATTCAAATCAAACACACACACAGTTTCCTAACCCTTAAAAAGAAAGATTGGTGATAGATGTACCGCCTGTACAGCACAGGTTGGGACTAATGTCAACGTACTTTATTACCTGAATAAGCCAGGCTCATTGGATTTCTAGAATATTTTTAAAAAAATATATTTTATTGATTTTTCACAGAGAGGAAGAGAGAGGGATAGAGAGTTAGAAACATTGATGAGAGAGAATCATCAATCAGCTGCCTCTTGCACACTCCCTACTGGGGTTGTGCCCGCAACCAAGGCACATGCCCTTGACTGGAATTGAACCTGGGACCTTTCAGTCCGCAGGCCGATGCTCTATCCACTGAGCCAAACCGGTTTCGGCGGATTTCTAGAATATTTTTAAAGAAAGTTGATTCACCATACCATTCTGCCAACTAAGACATAATAGAATTCTACTTATCTAAAGCGGTTGTGCTCTTAACACAACCAAAAAGGTCTAGGTTGCTACCATGGAGGCTTGATCTCTTTTCCCTTATATTTTTTTCTTATTAACTCACAATCACTGACCTACCTTACCCCATGCCCCAACTGGAAATAGGACTGAACATTTGACGCCCGTGTGTGCACTCAGATCTTGGACCCCATATCTTGCAACTTCGCTCTCTGTGTCCCAAGGGGATGATGTGTCAGTAATGGATATGCAAGGTGGGTTGAGCGTGGCAGGAACAACTGGGCTGTGGTCACCCTATTTGGTGAAAGATTAGTGCCAATGGTCACTCCAGGGGGTAAGCCCTGGGTACTGCACAGGAGAAGCATCTGAAGTGATGGGTCACTGGCATGCAAGCGATGCCCATGCACCCAGAGGAGCCAGGCCCAGGGGTGGGTGACACCCTCACCCCTGCAATTGTACTGTGAAGGCGCTCAACATGGTACTGATGCTGGACAGAGCTGAGGTGCAGCTGGGGCATTTAGTGGGGACCTTTGCCTGAGGATGTGCCTGTTTTTGTCATTTTACACTTTCAGGGGTAATTCTATCTTCCTTAATGCCTCTATATCCCCTGTCTGCTGCTGCCAACCCTGAGGCCTGGTCTTCATTGAGGGGCCACTTCTCCCCCTAGTCCTTGCCTTAGTGTAGGAATAAAAAGCATTTTCTAAGCAAAGCTCTCCCTCTAGCTCCAGCTATAGGCGGGGAAAACAGTGGTCTGCAGGCTGGTTTCATCTACACACTTCTCCCTCCCCATTTCCCCTTCCTCTCAAGGGAAATCCAGGGTTGGCATGTTGACATTAAAATGTTGGCACTGGATGTCTGTTTGCGAATTTAAATAGCATTGTCCCGGAATCAAAATGACAGTGTAAAAATGCCTTGTGTTACCCTCAGTGCTTCAATACATCTAGGCAGGATGGGACTCCACAGAGGGGGAAACGAGATGTTTGGCCTGGTCAGATATGAATTGTTAGAAGCCAATCACAAGTTAAATAGTCACAAATCCCAAATTCAGAGTCAGTATGGGCTTGTTACTCAGGTCAGCATTCCTGGGGCTGCTGCCATCTGTGTGAGGGAAAAATCCTTACCTTGGGAAAGGGTGCAATCATGATAATTTGGGTCAGCAAGCTTGTTGTGGTAGACAGACCCTTAGCTCCGCTGGTGTGGAAATCCAGGACAGTAGGGATTTATTTCTGCAGGAAGAGGATACCTGAGCTGAGTCTTGAGAGTGATATGAACAAAAGTACCCCAGCATTCACCGGCCTGTTGTGTGCCAGAGAGTGCAAACAATTCAGTGTGAAGTTGTGCTGGGTGCTCTGTGTGCAGTGGGGGCCAGACATGGCGGGGATCTCCCTTTTCGGCATCCCACACAGAGAGATGAACAAACCAGTTCTAAGTGGAGGCGGCAGGGATTGAAAAATAATAGAAAGAAAGAAGACACAGAAATAGATTTAAAGCTGGGAGCTGGGTGGGCAGTCATTCTGTCTGCTGGAGAGGCAGGAAGATGATGAGCCCTCCCAGCACATTGATTTTATACCCCCAATATCAGGAAGTTATCACCAACTTATTTGCATTCTTAAGTAGGCCCTAGCATACCTGGATTTACATATCTACTCTTGCCCCTGCCGACACCAAGGCTTGATATAAAGGCCAAGCTGATTACACTTTCCGCCATCTTGGGGAAATGTGTATCCTAGACACACTGCTCTGCCAATTGTCTTGGTCTCAGCTGGCAACAAAAGAAATGCCCAGGTGCCTTCACAGGCGGCCCTCTACAGTGTGCTGCCAGGAACCTGGGACTTGATAGACGGAGACTCCTAATGTTTCTTTAGATCAGTCTTCTAAAAGATCTGGGAACTAAGCCTATATTTTTCTTTGCACAAAATATTCATGGGCATCTACACTATACCTTGTGCTGCTCCCATTACTGAAAGGGAGTTTGCATTATAACTGTGTCTCAAAGGGGAACAGAGCTGAAGGAAGCTAGCTGATAATCATGTGCACCTGATAATGAGCACCTGGCCACCAAGTTCTTTCACAAAATACAATTTGCTTTCCTTTCTGTGTGCACCCCTCTGAGTTCGAGATAGAGTGCAGACAAAAGCAAATGAACGGTGTGCTCATAATTACACAGATAAGCATCAGCACCAAGGCACAAACCCAGATTGTACGGATCTAAGTTCAGTGTTGGCATGGATACAGAATAGCTCTGGAGGCAGGTTGTGTTCCTTGAAGATAACAGAGCAGGTTCTATAAGTCCTGGGCTGATGCAGTCATAAAGGACAAACCCCAGATAATCGTCAAATGATTTTTTTCACTTCCCCTTATCTAGGACCATGTATTTAAACACACACACACACAAAAAACAAACAAACAAACAAACAAAAAAAAAAACTCCACAGTGGATTGTGACTTTTAAAGAAACTTAAATGGATCAACCATTTACAAAGTTGGTGATTAGAGTGAAGGTGAGAAGCTCAAAGCAGAATTTGCAAATCACTGACTTCCATAGATTGGGACAATGGGTGTCATCAAGAATTGGCCCTTCTGTTCCCCCTTCTCTCCATCAGTTTTTCCATTTCAATTCAAAGTCACCTCATTTCTCATCTGGGCTTTTTCCATTCTCCATAGGGCCTCTTAGGCCTCTCCAACTTTGCAATGATTTACCCCCTAAGCTGAATCCAACCTCTGCCCTCCATTCTACCTCCATCTTCTGTCTGAGTGTCATAATAACTTTGATGACCTTGGTCATGTCCCTCACTCACAGGTGAATATTAAAACCAGGACAAACTGATCACCAGTCGTGCAGGCTTATACTACAAATGTCACTCATGAAAACAAGTTAAGTTTGTTTACCGTGCCTCAGACCATAACATTGGATCCTCTCTGTTAAAAAAAAAAAAAAAAAAAAAAAAAAAAAGGCCCATTTGATTCCTCCTGCAATAAGCTGGCATGCTGTATAGACAGGACATGGCCAAGGTCACCTTTGGGCCTTGGCATGGCTTCTGATTCTGTCTCAATGTGACAGTCTCAACAACAAACTAGGGCATGTGCTCTGAGATGAAGGGAAACTGCACAGCTCCAGGAGCCACAAGAATACATTTTGATGGGTCTTGTTTGCAGAAAAATAGACAAGCTACAAAAACTTCCTGGAGAATTTTAAATCTGTGTGATAAGGACCAAGAACTTGGTGGTGGTCTTCAATATTATGTTGTAAGCATGAATCTCCACTACAAACTCAGACTTCCAGAAATGTATTGATTTCTAACCTTTAAATTGCCCCTGACCTTTGAGCCAGCCACTTTCTCCCCATCTGCAGTGCTCTTTCCTCTCAGAATAATTCACGAGTCTCAGTGACACAGATCAACCCTTCCTTCTGTATACACTTCAACCACGGAGCTGCCTGTTCTCTGAGCCCCCAAAGACTCTGCATCTATCATCCTGCCCAGTTTGGTGTGTGAGAAGCTGGCATAGAGGTCAAGGGCCCAGGTTGTCCAGGTCTAACACAGTTGTCTCTACTGATACCATCTCAGAATGCTACCTGGGAGCTAAGTTGCAGGTGCCTACTAACCTTGGGACCTGCCACCTTTATTCTTCTCAGGTTGAAGAGTTGTAGTGTGAATCACCTGCATGCTACATTAGACATTTTGTTATATTTTATTCCATATCATCCATCTAGCCTTAATGAACTTTTTTTTTTTAATCCTCACCTGAGGATATGTTTTTTATTGATTTTAGAGAGACCTGGATAGAAAAAAACATTGATTAGTTACCTCCCGTACCCTCCCCGAGTGAGGATTGAACCCAAAACCTTGGTATATGGCCTGACTGGGAATCAAACCTGCCAACTTTTTGTGAAGGGGATGATGCACCAACCAACTGAGCTGCACCAGCCAGGGCTAATCAATGTATTTTTCAATGCATTTCAAAGCAAGCTTCAGATACCGATACACTTCTTGTACTCAGTTTTACAGCTAACATCTTGTTTTGCAAGTGAACTGAGAACAATGAGAAATCTGCCTTGAATATGGCGATATCCATTTTCCGATAACTTGCTGATAAATTCTGAAGAGTAGCTATGACTTCGGGGTGATTTTATTGTAGAAAGAACTCAGGGCCATGGCCATAGCATCCTGAACACATCCTACCTCATCAATCTTGTCAGCCAAGCAGGGTTGGGCCTGGTTAGTATTTGGATGGGAGAAAGAACTCAGATATGAAATCATCTTACATTTAGAATGTGTGATGGTGCTAAAGGGTTCTTCACTGCCTATGGTAACTTCACCTTGCTAAATTATGTGTTGTGTGTGTGTGTGTAGGGGGTGGGGGGTGTGTGTGTGTGCATCATCAACAGTGTAGGACACCTACCCTTACACATATTAACCATAAAATATTTCTTGCACAATTAGCCATGGAATATTTCTGTTTTGGAGTTTTTCCACACCCTAAATTTAGCAAGCTGGAATTATCTTTTAAAAACCACTTTAATCAACCTTTTTGAAAGGGAAAAATGCCTACACAAGGAAATCTGCATTTCTTTGTGGCTAGAATGCAATGTCCTCGCCTTAATTATTCTGCAAAGAAGCAAGTTTTTTCCTTTATTATATGTTGGCGATATAGCAAAGCCAGTAATC